ATCACGGTTCAAAGCCAGCCCAGGGAAACAGTTCGCAGATAGCCAGACCCTATCTCGAAAAACCCTTCACAAAAATAGGGCTGGTGGAGTGGCTCAAGGTGAAGGCCCTGAGTTTAAGCCCCAGTACCACAAAAAAAAAAAAAAAAGCAAAATCTAATAATGAGTTTCCATCAAACTAAAAAGCTTCTCCACAGCAAAGGAAACAATCAATAGAATAAAGTACTGGAGAAAAATAAGTGAATAAAAATAAATAAGTGAATAAAGTACAGTTATACTACCAAAAAAGTAAGCCATGGTGGTGAGGATGTGGAGAAAGAGGAACTCTTATGCACTGTCGGTGGGAGTGTAGATTAGGACAACCACAATGGGAGCAGTGTGGAGACTCCTCAGAAACTAAAAATACACCTGCCACAAGATGCAGCTATAGCACTCCTGGATATGGAGACAAAAGGAAATGAAGTCAGCACACCAAACGAGTAATAATTATGTTTAATACTTGTTACATATTTACCTTCACTCATCACATTGAAAACATGAAATATAAGACCTGCTGGATGCCAAGCTTGTCTCCTGAATGAGTTTTTTCTTTTTTTTGGTGGTAGTGGGGTTTGAACTCAGGGCCTTGCACTTTCTAAGCAGCTGTTTCACCACTTGAGTCACACTCCTATCCTTTTTTGCTTTTAGGTTAGTTTTCAGATATGATCTTGCTTTTTTCCAGGGGCTGGCCTTGGACCACAATTCTACTACCTCAGGTCTCCCAAATAGCGTGGATGACAGTTGCAGGCCACCATGCCCAGCTTATTTTGTTGAGATGGGGGTCTCACTAACTCCGCGCCACCCCCAGGCTAGCCTCTTCCTGATCTTCCTGATCTCTGCCTCCCAAGAGCCTGGGATTACTGTATCTGGCTTGTGATTTCCTATTGCGACACATTTCCTAGTATTTGGAGTCAATTTACACTGAGCGCTTGAATGTGACTTTCATGGTGTCCTCAGCAAAGTTCTCAGCAATGTGCCTTTCACTTGGGAGCGTCATTCCAGATGATCTGTCCCATGGTGTCAGGGGGTCTCCTTTTCCCTATGATGCCTTGTCCCTGCAGGAAGAGACAGGAGTGTCAATATGGAGGGCAGGTCACAGCTTTGACTTCAGGAATCTCAAGACACTTCTCTCAGACACAGTTACTTTGTTTCACTCACATCCCACAGTGTACAGAAGTGTGTAGATAGGCATCTCCGGATGCCTGACTCTGGGCTGTTGAGGGACAAGGTAATAAGTTTCCATCCCATAAAAAGTCCCACACAATGTTCAAGCTAGTGAAAAGGAAGGGGGCAGGAAGGGTTACCCTGAGCATCCTGTCCCAGGGCTCCTTTGCTTTCTGTTCTCCCTGGAATCCACAGGTCAGGATGGTCAAGTCCTGCTGGGCAATTCACATGTATCCAGAGAGTAAGACGTGCAGATGTGTCCCTCCATGTTCATGAATTATCTCATTTCCAATCCTTGCAGATCACGGTGTAGGGGGCCACCCCAAGTCTTGTCCTTCCTCAGTGTCCACACCATGGGGTCTGTGCTGGGAGAGTGATGAGAGTCACTCCTACACCAGGCTCAGCTGTGACAGCTCCACATGGTGCTGTTCTCCATCTGTTTTCTCTGTGTGGGTAAGTGTCCTGATACTTGCAGGTCTATGTTTTTTTATGGCACTAATTCACAATAGCTAAGACATGGAATCAGCATAAGTGTCCATCAACAGAGGAATGGATGAAAGAGTGTGGCATATATAAACAATGTAATATTATTTAGCCATAAAGAAGAATGAAATCCTATCATTTGCAACAAAAAGGAACTGGAGGACATCTTGTTAAGTGAAATAAGTCAGACACTGAAGACAAGTACCCCATGTTCTTTCTCATATTTGGAAACTGACAAAAGTTGATGTGGCTGTAGAATACTGATTAATAGAGGTGGGAATGGTGTTGGGTAGGGAAGGGTGGATAAAGGGAAGCTGGATTTGATCAGTGCATGCTGTATACATGTGAGGGAATATCACACTGAAATCCATTAATATGTACAATTAATCCATGTTAATACAAAGTAAAAAAGGAAATATGCTTTCTAGTTGACACATTACCACATGTCCAAGACTCAAAACTTCTCTTCCCAGAAGTAAGTAGGGAAATATAATTGCCAAAAAGTGCCTGGCTCAACTGACCTTTGGGGGGAAAAATACTGTGTAAGTTCGGATAATCCTAACTAGAGGTTATACTACCTGGCTTTTATTGACTGAAAAAACAACAAAATGAAACAACAACAACCAAACAACCTACCCCCAGTTTTTTTGTCTTTAAGTCTCAAAGAATAGTAGCACTCGAAAAATTGTGAGATGGCTCGACTAAACCAAAGTGTTCAAGTTTTTAAAGAATGGTTTGAAATTTAGAGGACAGTTAGATATTATACCATGGTTCATGTAACCACTTCTCTTTTTCACTTCCCTCCTTACGGTTTCCTTCCTATCTACTATTTCGACAAATTTGTGAATCTAATCACTTCACTCCTGGTTTGTAACAAAAATAAATTTTTGATGTTATTTCAAACTCTTTTGACGTGACAGTAAATAAAAGAAGGTAGGTTCGGTTAGGAATACTTCCAAGATTCCAACCTAGAGCGAGGGGCAGAATTCTGTTCTCCAGGGCTCTTATTACAATGGGGTCTGGGAGGAGAGAAGTGTTAATTTTGGCAAAAAGGGAGGAACCAGGTAAGAGGTGTGATCTTTACTTTCTAGTGTCCCTCCAGCTGACTGATGAGAGGACACAGAGGAAGACAGACAAACGGACATTTCTATATGTACTGGGAGGAAAGGTTCACAAAGCTAGCTAGCTAGTGTGCAAAAGGAGTGGAGGTGGGGGCTGGTTTAGGTCTGCTGCGTTTGCGTACACAGTCTGGGAGGCCTGATTTTGGAGCTTGAGGTCTGAGTGGAAAAAACTAGGGATAGGGAATGAGGAGAGGAGAGGGGGAGAGTGTTCCAAGCAGGGAGAACTGTTTGTGCAAAGACCTTGAGCAGGAAGAAGCTGTGAACATTACAGGAACTGAAAGCATGTCAGCAAGGCTAAGGCGCAGAGCAAGATACTGGGTGATATTCAAAGGTAGACCAGGGCAGGGCTGGTGTGATCTTGTAGACCACGCCAATGATTTCTTTCTTTCTTTAATTTTTTGTTGTTGTTGTTGTTGGTACTGGAGTTTGAACTCAGGGCTTCATGCTTGCTAGGCAAATGCTCTACCACTTGAACCATGCACTCCAACCCTTTTAGCTCTGATTATTTTTGGGACACGGTCTCACTTCATGCCCTGCTGTCTTGAATGGTTATCCTCCCTATCTTAGTTTCTTGAGTTGCTGGGATGACAGAGTGTGCCATCGTGCCCAGCTATTGACTGAGATGTGACTTTTTTTATTAACTTTTTGCCCAGGCTGTCCTCAAACTGCATTCCTTCCAATCTCCAACTCCTTAGTAGCTAGGATTATAGGCATGAGACTTTGGCACCTGGCTTTGACAATGATTTTGTTTTCCTTCCTAAGAAGACTATTTCCAGAGATTAGGGAAAAAGGTTAGGGTGATGGTGGAGGGGGAAAAGTAGAGAGGGGGCCCATTTAAGCCATATGTAAAGAGAGGCAAAATAGATTCAATTTGGTGACGGAGTGTTAGCGGTGGTGTTAGGATGCTGTGAGGCTCTCTGACTTACCAAAGAGGAAATCTGTCTCATGCCAATTCAGGCTCTGAACCACTGTTTTAGTCACTGTTTATTTTTAGTGGGAGAAATAGGGAGCTGGCTGCCTAGGTTCACAGTTACACACTGTAATCTTACCTCTGGTCTTTAAGCAGAAGCCTGTATTTGGAGACTTGAGTGTGCAGGCAGAGGAGAAAGTGAGCAGGCAGAGAAACCAGGTTGGAGGGTGACAGGTGGCAGAAAGAAATATAGGGATATCAGCATATCTCCTGCATATTTTGGTTTGGGTTCCAGACCATTGTGATAAAGTGAATAATACCAAGTACCACAATGTTCTTGGTTTTCTTGTGCATATGCAAATTATGTTTATATTATACTGAAGTCCATTAAGTGTGCAACAGCATTTTGGTGGAAAAATGTGCATCCATTAATTAAAAATATGCTAACAGTCATTTGTGATGTTGGGAAAATGTGGATAGATTTTCTTCACACATGGTTGCCACAAATCTTCCATTTGTACAGAATGCAGTATCTACCAAGCATAATAAAGTGAAGTATAATAAAATGAAGTATGCCTGCCTGTACACTCCCAAAACAGAGTCAGGCAAGACAGAGAAGAGGCAGGGTAAGGGGAGACCAACCACTAGGATGGGAGGAAAGAGAGGCTGGCAAGCACAGACATGGATGCTGGAAAAAACTTTAGCCAACCTAGACCAGTCCTCATTTTAATGTTTTTAATTTGTTGTGTGATATTTGCACTGGTAGAGATTTTGAAAGACTTAAAAGCATAAAGCAAGGGCTGGTGAGTTGCTCAAGTGGTAGAGTGCATCCCTAGCAAGCATGAGGCCCTGAGTTCAAGCTCCAGTGCCACCAAAAAAAAAAAAAAAAAAAAAGCGTAAAGCAAACTAAAATCAATAGTCTTTCCACCTGGAGACCCCCACTGCCAAATCAAAGAATTTCCTTTTATTTTTTTCTTTGCATTTTAAACACAGTTGGAGTTGTAACATAGATACAACTTTACATCTTGCTTTTCACACTTGGACAATGGTTGTAAAGCTTTCCACAAGCCATCTCAGGCTCTGTTCAGGGAAATAGAAGGTTGAGACAAGTTGGCTATGAAGTGAGTGATGGCTTCAGGATGTCTGGAACCACGTAGGCATAGTGGGTGCTGCCTGTACTTGGCTCTGGGAATAAATAGGTTGGCAGTAGGGACAACAGAGCTTCGAAAGGAGCTGGGCGGGACTGACCAGGCGGGGGCGGGGACAGGAGCACAAAGGTCTGAACTCAGTGTTGGGTGGAGCTTCTCGAGGTTCTCATGCCTAGCAACATGGTGTGCGGGCTGTGCCTTCTGCTCTGGGTACTCCCTCAGGTTTGGGGAAGTTCTAAGGGTGAGTGGAACGAGGGTGCATGGGTACGCGCTTCAGAGGGCGGAGAGAGGGAGCGCGGCATAGACTGAGGGGGAGTGGAATTAGGAACTCATCTCCCGAGCTGGGAGCACGCTGATTCACCCGAGATCTCCTGAGCTCCGCGGCTCTGGAGGCAGTACGGATCAGACCTCGCACACACCACCCTCTTTCCCAAGATCATCTACTGATGTTGTCTCCCCGCCTCCCCTCCTTAACCTTATGCTGTTTGCACTCCTGGGCACTAGCTATGTTCGTTCAATTCTCCTTGTCTCCCAGTCCAGGAAAGCAGTTTCCCCTTCCGCTGCCTCCAGATCTCTTCCTTTGCCAACAGCAGCTGGATGCGCACAGACTGCTTGGCATGGATGGGGGAGCTGCAGACTCACCGTTGGAGCAACGACTCCGACACCATCCAACTAGTGAAGCCCTGGTCGCAGGGCAAATTAAGCCGCCAGCAGCAGGAGAATCTGCAACATTTATTTTGGGTTTATCGAAGCGCCTTCACCAGGGACATACAGGAGTTTGTCAAAATGCTGCCAGAAGACTGTAAGTTGAGGGATGGGATCCTGGGTGGGAATTCAGGAGGAGAGAGTGGACCCAGTAGCCCAGCTGCGAGATTGGGACCACACCTGATCAGTCTCTGCTTTCGCCATCTCCTTGGATTTCCACTTCTCCCGGAGATGTCCCAGTCCCTGACTCCTGAAAATACCCCTTGTTCCTGTCTGCTCCAGGACATCTACTTTAATTTCCCTAAACCGTGGGCCCCACTACAACCCTCATGCCGGTTTCTTGTCCTCTCTTCTAGCCTGTTGAATCCTTGTTTGATCTTTGTTTATCCACTATAGATCCCGTTGAGCTCCAGTTGTCTGCTGGCTGTGAGGTGGACCCTGGGAATACCTCCAAAAGCTTTATCCATGTAGCATTTCAAGGAGTACATATCCTGAGTTTCCAGGGAACTTCTTGGGTCCCAGTCCCAGATGCCCCATCTTGGATGAAGTTGGTTATCAGAATACTCAATGGCGACCAAGGGACAAGAGAAATGGTGCAGTGGCTCCTCAATGATACCTGTCCTCAAGTTGTCAGTGGCCTCCTAGAGGCAGGGAAGTCAGAACTGGAAAAGCAAGGTCAGCCTGCTGTTCTTGCCCTGCTGTCTACTTGGGTTCCATCTGGGTTTTTGCATCCAAGGATTCTCCTCCCTTTAAGAATCAGAGAAAGGAAAGGCTTGGGAAGGGATAGAGAAGGAGTGATGATATTTGTTCATTTTACTGAACATCACTGAGTACCTATTAGGTTCCATGAATTAAACTAAATAAACACTGGGGACAGAACTGAGTCAGTTAAAATTTGAAGCATGCTGTATGTTACAGCTGAGCTCAGGATGTTAGAGAGTACAGAAGAGGGACATTTATAGGACAATGGGATCAGAGAAGAGTAAGGAGGAACATTAGGGAAGGCTGTTTTGGAGAAGGTGACAAAATGGATTAGAACTACCAGGAAACTTCATCTCCAGAAGTAGACACGTAGGAAACATGAGCCTGATAGGAGGCCTGCCACTTGTAAAACAGAATTCTTACTTTATGGCTCCCCCATGTTATGTTGGCTACAGTGAAACCTCAGGCCTGGCTGTCCCGTGGCCCCAGTCCTGGGCCTGGCCATCTGCAGCTGCTGTGCCATGTCTCAGGCTTCTACCCAAAACCTGTGTGGGTGATGTGGATGAGAGATGAGCAAGAGCAGCTGGGCACTCAGAGAAGTGACATCATGCCCAATGCTGATGAGACATGGTATGTTCAAGCAACCTTGGATGTGGCGACTGGGGAGGAAGCTGGCCTGACCTGCCGAGTGAAGCACAGCAGTCTAGGAGGGCAGGACATCATCCTCCACTGGGGTAAGAACTGGGACCCAGGCTGGGAATGGGAGGAGGTAGTTCTCCACTGTAGAGAGAGAGGATATGATTGACACATCCAGTTTCAGAGATGAGGCCCCTAACTAGGAGGGCTAGAGGAGGAAATTCCAGTACAGGAAGGAGGGAAATAGAGACTTGAAATTCAAAAGGTTTGAGATAAGATGTTCTGTATACAAGAAAAAACAAGATTCAAAAACTCAGAGATCCAGAAGTAGGTGTCAAATAAAAAATTCCTGAAAGTTTCATTCCCCAGCAGGGAAGGGGTCAGGGACTTTAGAAAGGCAGTTTAACAGAGACAGATGTAGTTTACTGAGTGCTTCCTGTGTGGTGGCTACTCTTCAGCAGTGTCTTGTCTCATCATCACCATTCTCCTTTGAAGCAAATACTGTTATTCTTATTTTACAGTTGAGGAAATTGAGGCTAAGATAGGTTAACTGCCCAGGGTTACATAGAAAATAGAAGAGCCGGATGTAAACTCAAATCTGTATAGCTACAAAGCTTTGCTTCTGTGTTATACTATTGTATGCTAGAGTGGACAGATTTAGGGATCCCTACACCCTGAGGAAAAAAATGGGGAGACTGTGCGAAATAGAAGTAGATGCTTTACATGGAGGAGGAAATAAGAATTTGGCCTCCTCACAATGTGCTTAGGTCAGTGGACTTGAAGCTCCTGTGCTGAGAGACATCCTTTCTGTGTTCTCCCAAAGCAGATGGGAGACGTACATCCTTGGGCTTGACTGTCCTAGCAGTACTGGCATGTTTGGTGTTCCTCTTTGTGCTCCTAGGTTTAACCTTCTGGATTAGGAGACGGTAAGTCTCCCCTTTCCATTTCCCCCTTCCCCCACCTCTTTTGCCTCTATTCCCTGTTTCCCTTTTCCTAATGGTTTCTCCCTTTCTATTCTCTCTCAGCCATTATCAAGACATTCTGTGACTTTCGTGGCCATATCTGCCTTTCTGGAATTTAGGAATTCAAGAACCCAAAACTTTAGTCCAAGTCTGCTCAGGAATTGAGGATGAAAGGAGAGGTACTTCAAAGAAGTAAAGAATACTCATCCTATCTCTTAAACACTTGTCTAAAATAATTTAAGTTCTTTTGCATTATAAAGTAGTTCTTTACAAACAGGAATGCAAACTCAGATACCTACCAGAAAGAAAGCAAATAAGGACCTGTATAAGTCCTGTGATTGTTGTTTGAGAGATAGAATCTGCACTGAGCTGGAAATCACAATCCTGTCCCAAAGCAGTAGGTACAGAGGTTTGTTGGCAAGTACAAAGACAAACTCTGGCTTGGCTGCAAACTGCATTTGTCAAGAAAACTGAAATTCTGGATTTTCTTATGACACGCCTACTTTAAAAATGTTAACTCAAGTTTTTGATAAATACTGTATGTGTGACACCTAAGGTACATACTTGCTGGCTGATAACAACTTCGTAGTTTCCAGATTGTATCACTTTTATAAAAAATTTTCCCTGAATGACATATTGCAGTATTAGGACATAGTTTCTATTGTGAATTTGGATTTATGATGGACACTTTCTCTTTTAAAGAAAGGTAGAGTGTTAAGAAACAGAAATGTCTTGAGCTTTTACTTGTTGTTACTCCAATATATATGCATTATTTTGGGAAAACCACTCTCCTTTGCGTATTTCTCTCAAATTCTGCAATATTTGGATGTGGAATGTCCCTCAAAGTTCGTGTATTGAAGGCTTGGTTCTCAGCCTGTGGTGCTGTTGGGAGATGGGCCCTTTAATAGGTAGCACCTAGTGGAAGGAAGTTGAGTTACTACGGGCAGACCCATGAGGGGGATATTGGGACCCTGGCCCTTTTCTCTCTCTCTTTGCTTTCTGGCCACCAGGAGCTGAACAGCTTTGCTCCACTGCATGTTCCTTGCTACAGGCTGACTTACTACAGGCCAAAATGGTGGTGCCCAAGTGACCATGGATTGAAACCTCTGAAACTGTGAGCCAAAATAAACCTTTTCTCCTTTAAGTTGATTTTCTCAAGTATTTTGTCATGGCTATATAAATTTGATTAACACAAACATTCAGTTGCTTTTTTAGTTTAGAAGAAGATAGTCTTGAAGGTATTGTCAACAAAAAGACAATAGTCTCTCCTACCTATAGATGTTAAAAGTGACAATGTAGAGAAAAGGTTAAGACCACATGGGCAGTCATGAGCAGTAGTGATGAGGTTGATGCTAGCCTGGCTATATGGTCTACTGTTAGCTTAGAGAGGACAGAACAAGAAGGAACAGCCAAAGAAAAAAGAACACAAGTTAAAAATTATCTGTTTTCCCATCTGGAAAGTATTCTGTTTATAGTCAGGTCCATGAACATACAGAAAAAGTGAAACCTAACTGTTGGAGAGTCTTTACTTGAGCAAATTAACATTGGGCCTCCTCTATACTAGACTTACAAGTCTGAACCTAGCACACAGGTAATGGCACTGATAGCTTCTACATCATTGGTTCTCTAGCCATAGCACTTTAACTTGTTAGAAATGCAAATCATTTTGAGTCTTACTCTATACATACTTATGAGAGTATCATTTTGGGTTTTACTCTAGACATATTGGCAGTGGGGACCAGTAGTCAAGCTCTCCAGTGATTTTGAAGCTCAGCTGAATTTAGAGAACCTCTGTTCTTAGGCTTCATGTAATGCTATGCAGCAAACTCCCCAGAATGCTTAGGGAAAAGGAGGTTGGCCTGGGGTTATTCACAGAAGCCTTCCTGGAAGAAGGGTAATTTGAAGCAGGACTTTGAAAATGAGTAAGGCAGTGAAGTAAACTTCAAGCACACTGGATCAGGGCACTAGAGTTCTATCCTCCGATTTAGTTTCCTTCTGTGCTAAATGGGGATGATCATGTCTGCTTTGATTAGCTCACAGAGGTTGTGGGAATCAGTTGTGTAAAAACATGTGATAAGTAACACCTTAAAAAACATGGGTTCTGGTATTGTCTTTGGCACCACACTGCCTCAGGTGATGCTATTCAGTTTAGCTCCCTCAAGCAGGATTAAGTTTGTGAACCAACTGTTACTGGTGTTCCAAATATTCCTTAGTTCTTGGATACAACGTGTAAGATTAAGATGCTGCCCCAAGTGTAGCAAAAGAACAAGAGTAGGAATGAGGCAGGATAGATCAGGGAGAATGAGGCATGGGAAACAGGAGCCTGGAATTTAGAGATAAACATTGTATTAATGAATACCTTGATTAAAAACACATACATGCTACTTTCTTTGCTTTAAACATCACATGCCCTCACTAAACTGCAACATGTAGTTAAAAAAAAGGAGGCAGCTCTCCCTCTCACCTTGCCCCCGGCACAAATAATAAGTGTGTTCTGGGAACTAAGCAAGAATATATTAAAGAAACATACTTATCCTGGGGAAAAAATTTGTTAATTACTTCTTTGAGCACAGAAGTGTTTGTAAAAAAGAAAAAAAAAGATCATATGTTAGGTTACTTGTCTTAAAAGGAACATTCGACAAAATCCATGCTCTGGTTAAAGGGATGCTCAGACATCTATGTCACAATGACCCAAATTTAATTAACTGATCAGATTTGATATCTCTGGGCCCAAATGATAATGTCAAAACAGTGTAACTGTAAGAATGATTAAATGTACCAGTTATGTAAAATGAAGGGAAACACTTATCCTAAGGTGAATTTAACCTACTGTTTGATCATAAATACCCTTCAAGTTAGAGCCCTCACTATACTTGTTATCATATATTCCTGCACCCATGTTTGGATTGTATACTATCCTTTGTTTTGCTTTTCTAAGGAATGGACTTGGTCTCTACCTCAATGTGTTCTACTTCTAAAATCTTTTTTTTTTTTTTTTGGGAAAGTGTCACTGTCACATGCTGGTGTTGAGGGTCCTTGCCTTCACAGGCCAGAGAACTAGCTTGTGAGGCAGTTGAATGATGAGCCAAAGCCAGTATGTAAAGTAGGATTTATTAGAAAGAAAGGAAAGGCTACAGCTAGAGAAGAGTAGTGGAGCCCTGAAGCTGGTAGCTTGCTGCACAGGTGAAGACTGGGGCTTTTATGGATGTCCCAGGTCTGAGGTAGGTGGGTTTTTTCTATTGGCCATGTATTTGCATGTGGGCTGTCTTAGATGAGCTGGTCTGTTTGCCCCTTATTGGAGGAGGGGGAACAACTTAAGAGCATTTTGTTTATCAGCCCCGTGGCAGATTTGTAAGACTCTGTATCTCTTCTTTAGGATGCAGGCATGCAGGCCTCTAACTCCTCAGGATGCAGGAATGATATTGCTCTCCATGGGGGATGGGATACTCAATCATCTGTCTTAGGGCTCCAGACCCAGCAAATCTCCCCTCTGATACAAGCACCCAACTGCTGTTGGGGAGAGGGGCGATGACTCATCTAGCTGCTTTGTGCTGACAATGGAGTGACTGGGGAGGTAGGGGGAGATGGGGATGGGGAGAGGGTACTTGTCTCAGGGGTTGGCCCGTGTAGTCTCTAGGGGCCTCCCCTAGAATGGGATGGAGGGCTTATGCCTAGGCAGAGGTGAGCATTCCTTGACTAAAAGTTGGAGTTTGATCCATTGGACCTGTTGAGATATAAATCTGGAGAAAGCATTTATTTATGCAAGACCCAAATAGGAATATTAGAAGGAGCATAAAAAGGTGTCTGGCAAGGGCTGCATATCTAGGGATCCAGATTCTGTAAAATCCTGTAACTCCCAAGAAAGCTCTAAGCTGCTTTACGGTATGGGGGTATGGGAAATGGAGGATTGGATGGATTCCCTCATGACTCAGGGAGTGAGTCTGTCCCTTTAAGACCACACCTAGGTAAGTGACCTGTGGGAGGCATAATTGATCTTTCTTCTTAGAAACTTTATATCCCTGGGAGGCCAGAAAGTTTAAAAGAGACTCAGTCGCCCTGCAGGTGAAGGGCTCTGTGGCTTTGCACAGAAGTACCTTCATCAACATATTGAAGAAAGAAGGGTGGCCTCTGGGTAGTGCCAACCTAATAAATCTCTGGCTAGGGCTTGTCCAAAAAGATGAGGGCTCTTTTTAAACCCTTGTTGTAAAACTGTCCAAGTTAGTTGCTGTGAAGGGTTTGTGGGATCTTTAAAGGCAAACAGGGGCTGACTGTCAGGGGCAGGTAAAATGTAACACTTTTGGATGAAAGAGAGCTTTAGCTCATCCTTTTACATAAACTGACACTTTTAACTTTGTAAATGTTTTTACCATATTTAGGTAAAGTATAGACACAACACAGTTATAAGGTGGTCATTTAAGACACATGAGAAAATATGTAAATGAACTCTGATTTAGTAGTACTTAAAGCTTGACAAGATCAACAGAAAACACAAGTAATTTTTTTGATAAAATCTTTCCCTATAACAGTTGTTTGTAGATGTTACTCAGAGCAGAACAATATTAAGATAACCTTGTTATTTTATAGACATAGAGAATTAGATTTTAGTTTGACATGACCCTAAAAATCTTTTAGGCAACCCTTAGATTATAATTAAGTTTAATTTTATCACACACTGAAGCTTTTATTATACACTTTTAATATTTACTCAGAACCTTTATATAATATTTTGAACTCTCTGATGGTTTGTCCTTTTCCCTCCTCTCCATATTTGGAACAATCTTTAGGACAAATCTTTTTTCATCTAAAAACAATTTTTATCTCCTTTAACTTCCCCCCCGACAAAAATACACTCAATACCTATTTATTGATGGGAACTGTCTCTTATGCGGCCTAAGCCACAGCTGGTTTCACTCCTTGCAAACAAAACCCACCATTCCTTATGTGCGGCGTTTTCCTAACATTTATATCCTTTTTATTCATTCACTTTGTAACTTGTATTTTAAAATAATTTTCATAAGACTTTTAAATTTACGTAAAATTGTTTTTCTAATTAGTTTTATTTTTATTATATTAATAGATCTACTTATTAGTTAGACCTGATTGACATAACTTTAAAAAAACTGAGTTTTCTTAAAAGTGGCAGCAGAAGAGGTGGGGGAGAGAAGAGAGCAGAAGCCTTGTATTTTTTTTACATTAATTTTATAATAAGAATCATCCTAAAGATGTGTAAATATATGTATATGTAAAAAGTTTTAAATTAGGCATGCCATAAATGTCAGTTTAAGCATGCATAGAGTTAAGAACTCAAGAACATGTAAAAACTAACTAAGTGGCCACAAATACATTGATTAGTAGTTAAAAAAAAAAAAACTTCTAGGAGCAGATTGAGAAGTGTCCCATTTTGTTCTTTTAGGACTCATTTTGGGTGGAGTGATAGGTGAAGTAAGAGTCAATTTTAGGAATAGTGTTTTGAGTCAGTCTTAGTTTTTAATAAGACTGTTATAGCTATTAGATTTTTGTCTCTAATAAATTAATCATATCATAGACATACACAACTTATACAGTGAAACACAAAACCATTACATTAATTTTGAGTGCACTCTTGAACATTGAAAACTTTAGATTTAGGAATGCAAAAGAAAGTGTCCTTTAAATCTAGTACAGAGTAATATTGGGCTTTTGAGGATATTTGAGGCAATAGAGTATAGGGATTGGGAACAACTGGGTGGAGGGGAATGACTGTTTCATCAATGAGCCGGAGGTCTTGAACCAATCTCCATTTGTTTGGTCCCTTGTGGACAGCAAGTAGTATTATATGGGCTGGAGCAACTGATTAGTAGCCCTTGGTTTTTTTAAGGAATTTATGACAGGTATAAGGCCTTGTCTTCCCTCAGACTTGAGAGGATGTTGTTTTGGGCATGGAAACTGAGAGGGATTTTGAGTTTGATTTGAATAGGGAGGGCCATCCTAGCTCACCCTACAGTCATCCCATCAGTCCACACTGTGGGATCTGTTTGTTCCTGAAGGAGGGGGCAATAGAGATAGTTGCCTGGGGGGGAGGAGAATTTGAGCTTTTAGTTGAGATAGTAAATCCCATCCCAGCAGAGGCACTGGAGTTTCAGAACTATGAGGAAACAATGACAGAAGAGCAGGTCTCCCCAAGAGCAGGCCAGAGGCTGGGTAAAGTAGCGCTCTAGAGGCTGGCCAGATATGCCCTGAATGATAACCTTGTCATTGGACTGGGGACCGGGAGAAAGGTAAGACAGAGGAATGAGCTCCACTGTCTGGCCAGAAAATGACCTTTCACTTTTCTGCTATTATAGCTACCCCGAGGATCCTCAATATTGATGCCAAGAAGTGGAGTGTGGACAGGAGACTGGGACCCATCAATCCATAGGAGGTGGCACCCCACCTTCCATCTGAAGATGGGGGCACTTAGACCGCCAGTGGTTACCTTTGCAGAGAGGGCAGGGTCCTGGTTGGGGGTGGGGCTGTCTTCTGGGCTGTCCCCCATTTGAGCATTCTCTGCGGAAGTGCCCCTTCCAGTCCACAATGGTACCAAGCTTGGGATGTAAGCCCCAGTTGGGTGGGGCCCTCTCTGAGAGCAGCAATGAGGTCATGATGTCTCTTATCTTTTTCTCTCCTTTTACTAAGGTCCCAGTTATAGTATACAGATATGGCTAGCTGCATTAGTTGGTTCAATGACTTTTCTCCTTCAGCTACAGACTTTTGGAGTTTTCTACGAATATCTGGGGCTGTGTTAAAATTTATCTTTGAGGAGAACCTCTTCCACCTGTGACTCTGGGTCCACTGTGCTATGCTTTCTGATAGTGTCCTTAAGATGCTGTAGAAAGGTAAGGGGGGTTTCTTCAGGGCCTTGCTGTACTACAGTCACCTGGGAATAGTTCAGAAGTTTGACTTTGGTCTTTTTTAGCCCTTCCACTATGAGATGGATTAAGTGGTGTTGACACCATTTGTCCTCCTGACCATTTTTTTTTTTTTGGATTTAACAATGCTGGGAAATTGAACCCAGGACCTTGCACATGCTGGGCAGACACTCTCCCACTGAGCTATGTCCTCAGCCCCAAATATCTTTTTTTCCTTTGACTGTACTGAGATTTGAACTCAGGGCTTTATGCCTGCAAAGCAGCATTCTACTGCTTGAGCCACACCACCAGCCCTTTCACCATTCTGATTTCCAGTGTAGATCTGTCAAGGCAACTGTCTGTGCCCCTGTAGGTATAGGTACATTTATTTCCTCATTTTTAGGTGCCACGGGCATTGGGGCTCATTGTAAATAGTAATCATTTTCAACCTGAGTGGCCTGGGCCAGACCCATTGTTTTTCTAATTAGGAAAGAGTCTGGTCTAGTAGAAGCCTAATATCCTTTTATGCCAATTCAAAGGTATGGATTACAGAGATAAAGTTTGAGTGTATTTTTTTGGGGAGTCAGTATAGCTGTCCATGTTTTTAAAATTTCCTTTAGATCTGATAACTATAAGGAGACATAGACTCACCCTCTTCTTACCATTGCCTGTTGAAGAGGGAAGCACCCATTAGGAGGTTCTGAATATTGAGATTCTGAATATTGGGGCTTAGAAGGTAGGGCAGAGGGTGGAGCAGTAGGGGTGGGTCTTGCCATTGATAAGGGGTTTTTCTGGTCCTCCTTTTCCATGCTTATCCTATGGTTTACAAAGAATAACCACTGTTTGAGTATCTAAATACCAATTATGGAGCCAATCTGGGTGGTCTCAGAGATGAAAGAAAATTTATATAAGGTATCTCAATCCACCTTTTCCTCCTTTTTACAGAAAAGGTCTAATTGGAGTATGGTATTGTAATTTAAGGAACCCTGTGAAGACCACTTCTCTTGGTCACTCAAGGTATACTGAGGCCAG